GGACGACAATTGGCAAAGTTCATGGAATTACAGTCGCTGAATGATCTTGGCTATCCAAAACGATATATCAGAACTCTACAGGTACGCATTAGCTCTTTTCGTAGCTGTTATTTTTGATACAAAGTCTTAAGGAGTCCTTATAGCTTGGCATTGCGAGTGACAGATATCTGAAGTTGTCAAGAGCATGAAGGATCTGATGAACTTCACTGGCGACAACAAAATCGGCCCTATTGGTAAGTCCACAATTCCATCCACAACATTCTTCGTGAATGAGACCCAAAACCAGGTTGCTCCTTTGGTGTAGCTCACCAGAATAAAACTGATTTCTTGGCTCCGCTGTTGAAATGTTCTGTTTGATCCGCTGATTGAGTTTCTGATGGAATGTAAAACGTTTTCGGTGTCTTTGAAATGTAGAGGGGTTGAAACGGCTTTTGGAACAGACAGCAACTGTGAAACAACAGAGGCAGAAAATGCAAGAGGTGGAGCAGGTTGGGAATAGTGGAACTATGAACGGGTCAGCTCAAGCTCAAATGGCGTTGACTCCAGGAACGTTGAACAGTCTGACTGGCAACAACAACATTAACAATCAGCATCAAATTGTTGGTCGTGGAGCTATGAATGGCTCAGCTCAAGCTGCAGCAGCTTTGACCAACTACCAAAGCATGCTTATGAGGCAAAATGCTATGAATAACCCGAACTCAAATGCGGGTAAACAAGAGGGGTTCTCGAATCAGACCCCAACTACCCCGAACTCAAACCAGAGTCCATCTTCTTCATCCCATCAGAGACAGAACTTAGCGACGGGTGGATTTCCCAGCCCTCCTCAAATGCAACAGCAGCAGCGCAGCATGAATGGCGTTCCCAACATGCTTCAGCAGAATCATCATCAACATTTGCAACCATCACATGGACATGGTAACAATCAGGAACAGCAGATGCTTCATCAGCTGTTGCAGGAGATGTCGGAAAACAGGGCAAGTGTGCAACAACAACAAGCCTTTTCAGGTCAAAGCGGTAGCAACAGCAACGCAGAGAGGAACCAAACTGCCTCCACATCCAACATCTCAGGAGGAGGCCGAGTTCCAAGCTTCAAAACAGCCACAAACAGCAACCTTCATTTGTCCGAAGATATATCGGTAACAGAACTATCTCACGATTTCTCTTCAGACGGTATCTTCAGCAACGATATCTGTGGTGGGTTTTAATATCCCAACAGAAAAGAAGCATTGTAACTTAACACAGTGAAAGAGAGGTTAGGACTTATTTTTCTCAGTTAGGTTGGGTTTGGTCTTTGTATAGAAACCAAAGAGATATGATACCAATGGAGGAATTGGTGATTTGTTGTAACCTACGTCTACCTCTAGGCCACTTTAGCTTTTCTACTTCTTTCCCCTTTTAGCGATTGTAAGATGAAACACGTTCTAGTTATCTCTTTCTTCTTTATGATTTTTACTTTGATAACAATCTGTTTATAAAAAGGGATTTTTATGTTACCCAATTTCTTTTACAGCTTGCGTCTCCTATTTGAATTTAGTTTCTGATTATGGAAAAAAATCCCCTGTAGAATATGTCATAAGCACCTTACTGTATATTCTTTCATTGCATCAAAACTTGCAACGTCTACATTTTTGAACTCAGAGGAAGGGGATGATGCAGAACTCATCCGGGAATAGTCTTTCTGAAACGCTACCACAAACCTTAGGTTTATTAAAGAGAATTTGGCATGAATAACCAAACAAAAAAATTATAATTGGCAATCTAACCAAAAGTCTCCTATGTGGCAAAATCATAGCCACTAGATCTAGGGTTTTTGGTTAGATTGCCAATTATCCTGTTGCAACACAATTTAGAAGGTTATCTAAAAACTGCTTTTCAAGAGTTTATTAAGCCTAACCAAACAGTTTTTGTAAAAGGAAGACTACTAGTGGTAAACATTGTATTAGCCTCAGCAATTGCGTATGGTTGGCACAAGAACAAAAATCCAAATAGAATAACAATTAAAGTAGATATAGCTAGAGATTTTGACGCTGTCAGATGGGAGTTCATATTTTTTTAAGAGGAGTTAGAGTTTCAAATATCTACTTAAAGTGGCTACAAGCTTGTATTTGAAATACAACTTAATGGGATGATTCATTGATATTTTACAAGAATAGAGGCATCGCTAGGGAGATCCACTATCTCCCTATTTATTTGTATTAACAATGAACTTCTTATCTCTATCCTTAAACAAGGCTGTAGAGGATGGTTCTTTCTCCAACCTCAAATGCAAGGAGGCAAAGTTAACACACCTTTGCTTTGTTGATGATTTGCTGATTTTTGTTGAAGAAAATTAGAGATCAGTACAAGGAGTGTTGGATATTCTTCTGGATTTCAAGGATAAAACCAGGCCTTGCTATTAGCATTCTTAAAACTTGTTTCTTCTCTTCAGGGCTTTGTATTTCAAAGACTAACAACATCACGACTTCTACTAGTCTTGTTCATGCTGTTTTGCCAGTTAGATATTTTGGTGTTCCTCTATGCGTTAAGAAACTAAATATAGCTAATTGTACAAGCCTGATTCAGAGGTTAAACAAGATTTGATTTATTCTTCATCTTACCTCTGTCATATTTGGAATTAAAAAATTTCTTAGACTAGTAGTTTTGCAATGCCAAGATAGAA